GGAGTCTTACTTCCTGATATGTGGACATCTGTCCTCCAACTGACTGACAGCAACACGACTCTACCACTGACTCGGTCTGCTCTGCAACGTTGATGTTTTATCTCCACACATAACACAAGGCTGGAGGAGTTCTGCTGTGTGGTGGAGTTGCTAATGCTAACGGCTACTAGCAGAGACGTTCTCTGCTGTTTCCTGGACTAAACCAACAACAGCCTTCCTCGTCGTGAGTCCAGACGGGTGAGTCCATGAATGTTAGTGACAGTGTGACGTAGATCTGTCAGGATTTTCTATCCTAGCGTTTCACCGTCTGTTTTCTACCAGAAGCTACTGCAGCAGATAGGTGTAGGAGACTATCTTCATGTTCAGCCTGCATGAAACACTCAGTGTGACCCGTTAGAGCAGGGGTGCCCATTCCTGGTCCTGGAGGGCCGGTATCCAGCAGGTTTTGTGGTTTCTCTGCTCCAACACACTTGATTCAGTGGTTGAATCACCTGTGCTGCAGCTCATCAGGCTCTGCAGAAGCCTGTTAATCACCTGCTGATTGAATTCAGGTGTGTTGAAGAAGGGTTAAAACTGAAACCTGCTGGATACCGGCCCTCCAGGACCAGGATTGGGCACCCCTGCGTTAAGAGTAATTAGTAACCATTAAACACGGGTTTTCAGTGTTCCACTCCTTTAATGATTAACTATAAAACGAGTCCCTCCTCTAGAACAGGTTGAAACTGAGCTGCTAACACTAGACAGGTTTCCTTGTCCTGCAGAACAATAAATTACTTAATCCCATTGGGATTAAAAGCTACCGCGTGGTGTTATAGCTGAATCAGGGAGAGTAAAGCTGACAGGCTGGTTTCAGGGTGGGGGTGGGTGGGTGGGTGGGGGGGGGGTGTAATAATCAATAATAAATGACTAATAAACGTATTCCTTCTGGCTCACCTGTAGGCATTCAACACGGCCGCACTCCGCCCTCCGACAGAGGACCTGACCTCGGTTACAGGAGCAGAACTCACATCCTGTGCCATTCCACATGTCGCCATGGTAACGCACTACATCCTGGTATAGGCAGCTTCCCCTGGCAGGGGCACATTCATCACAGCACTGGCCGGGACGCCTCACTTTGGTCAGACCCTGCGAGAGAACAGAAGATGTGAGATGAAAGAAAGAAACCTGAGAGGATTGCAGAGATGCTGCTTTTCTCCACAGAGGAAAGCGGGTGTGTTGCATAGTTAGACCAAAAACCCACAATCATCTTACAGCTCGATTTTAAATGATTAAAAAGTGCAGATGAGCTGAGAATACCAGATTAAAAATGGATGAACCCTTCTCTTTCTAGACCTCTGCAGATGTGGCATGCTGTCAATCAACCTGTGCTCCAGTGGGTGGCATGGGTGCGGTGCTGCAGCAGATCCTTCACAGACGGGAGTTTCTGACCCAAACATTAAGATTTGGAGAGTTTCCTGGTCACGGATCCACATTTCTGTGTGGTTGAAGTCGCTTTGTTTCCTGTTCCATCATCACCCAACTGTTGATGATGAGAGGAGATCATCTGGGCAGATGTTGTCGTGTCGCCAAGTCCCTCGGTTGAGAAGCATCCTGGGAGCATGAATGCTGACGCAACAATCCCTTTTTCAGACCCCACTGGGAGAGGGGATGGCCTCACCCCAGTCCTGAGAAGTCTGGACCTTCGACCAAATCCCAGTCGGTCCCTGATGGTCATCTTGTGGGGCAGCAGTAGCTCAGGTGGTAGAGCGGGTTGCCTCATGATCGGAGGGTCATGGGTTCGATTCCAGCTCCCGCCAGGGATATCCTGCTGTTGTGTCCCTGGGCAAGACACTTCACCCAACTTGCCTGTGTTAGTGGTGGTCAGAGGGGCGGACGGCGCCAAATGGCAGCCTCGCCTCTGTCATACCTCCCCAGGGCGGCTGTGGCTACAAGTAGCTTACCATCACTAGCAGTGTGTGAATGTGAGAGTGTGTGAAAGCGTCTTTGGGTGTCTAGAAAAGCGCTATATAAATTCAATGCATTATTATTATTATTATTATTATTATTATCTTGGAGAGAGGTGGCTTCCTCACACGGTGTCCTCTCAAGAGTGTGCAGATGTTTTCTAGTTCTACGAATCTTCTGCTGAGCTTTCTTGATAAAATGTATAAATTGAGGGACGGCAGCAGCCCAGAAGGTGGAGCGGGTTGTCCAGTAATCAGAAGGTTGCTGGTTTGATTCCGGCTCTGACCAGTGAATGCTGCTATTGTGTCCTTGGGCAAGACCCTTAACCCGCCTCACCTGCTGGTGGTGGTCAAAGGGACCGGTGGCGCCTGTGCTCGGTTGACTCGCCTCTGTCAGCGCGCCCCAGGGCAGCTGTAGCTACATCGTAGCTCATCACCACCAGCGTGTGAATGGCTGATTGTATCATAAAGCACCTTGGGGGGGTTGAGGACCTCTAAAGCCTGGGGAACACTGATGACAGACGCTCCACTCAGCAGCGTGTCGTGGTTTTGGGAAGTCAAGATGTCAAACAGGAAGTGCCGCGCCGCTGAGCACTTCTCAGAAAGCCCCGCGATATTCACATCATCTCGTGGGACGTGAGAACAGGAAGCAGGAAGTGGCTCTTTTGTTTTTATGTGATCAGACTTGCCGTCCTGTTTTGTGAGACTCTGATTCATTTAAAAAAGGGTGAGTACATTATTTATTAGAATAAAATAGTGTTTTAAAGTTATCAATACTGTGGTTGGGTTTGTGCCGTAAATCCGTTCTGCGTTGTAAAGTACTCCAAACTCCACGCCATCTTCAGCGCCTTGGCACGGCATGACACTTCTGGGACGCGGTGCTGCACTCCCCGTGTAGCCACCCTCAGTAACCTTAAGGGTCTGGAAGGTGCTTACAAATAAAATGTATTATTATTATAATATTATAATGGCTTCTGTTTACAATGACGGTGCGGGCATGGAGCGGGCATGGCATGGGTGCGGTGCAGGCATGGCGTGGCCGTGGCATGGGTGCGGTGCGGGCATGGTACGGGCATGGAGTGGGCATGGCGCGGGTGTGGAATGGGTGTAGCGCGGGCATGGCGTGGGCGTGGCATAGGTGCAGTACGGGCATGGCACGGGTGTGGCATGGCGCGGGCGTGGTGCGTCTGTCTCCGGGGTGCCCCAGGCTTAAGAAGGTGCTAAACGAATACTGATCATTTACCAAATGTAAAATCTATAGAGGAGCAAGAACTAAAGTGGACCTAAACCGAACCCTGAGGACCCCCAAAGGACCGGCTAGTTTTTTCTGATAAGATCTAATTAAGAAATGAAAACATTTCAGATTTAATCACAGCACTCAGGAGTGGACAGCCGTCCACTAGACACGCCACTGGGAACAGTCGCAGTAAACTGCTGCTTCACTACAGGATTTTCCTTCACAAGATCCTAAAGGACAAGTCAGACCTCCACTTTCATCACAAATTAAAGTATGAGTAGGATGCACACACACACTTTCATTTCCTCCGTGAATGTGTGTTCCAGGATCAGGGGGGTGGGGGCGTGGCCTAAGCATGATGGCCGACGGGAGGGGTCGGAGTTAAGCTTGTTCTGGAGAGTAGCTGTTGCAGCTTTAAGGCCAACATGTCTGTCACGTTCCACCGCTCAGAAACATTTACGGTTCTCTTCATTCACCGATGAAGCAAACGTGTTTCAGGAAAAACAAGATGCATCTGTGCAGACCAGTGTCTCCCTACACTGTGATCCTGACCCATGCACTCATTCGAACAGTGGTGGTATTTACCTCATCACAGGTGACTGGCCGACAGGTGTGTGTGTGGCATTTGGATTGACCTTTGTCACACACACATGTGGTGCAGGTGTTCTTCTTCCACAGCTCTCCGTGCTGCCAACACACACACGGGGAGAAACAGAGAAGAGCGTTCCCTTTAAAGGCTGAAAACATGGAGGGCTGAAATAAATCCTGCTTCTGTTCTAAACCTGGAGCTGATTGTCCGGGTTTGAATTACTAACAGGACCCAATGTGGAAGGAAATGTTCAGGAGAGGAAGTTAAAGAAAGTCTCCCGCCTGAGTCCAGGAGGGAGAGGAGGTCCGGTTTCTCCTCCTCCACCGTCGGACTTTCTAGGGTTTGACTTGCGTCTGAAGCTGAAGATGTTTTTATTTGATTTTATCCAATCTTTGATAAAAATAAACATCAACATGTTTACATGCCATTAAATCGTTTCCTGTTTGATTTATTCTAATAGAAATAAAAATGGACGTTTGAATAAAAAGTAAAAGAACCTGAAGAGAAATAAAATCACATAAAATCAGCAACATCGTTTTCTGAGATTTTATTATTTTTATCTAAATCTTAGAGAATAAAGAATTAATGGGCTGTTTTTTTTATGAAATAATGATTTTAGTCCTGCTGTAAAAAGCTGCTGTCGCTTCATCCTGTCCACGGTTCACACCAGAAGCTCTGGACTGAGGTCCACGTCTGCATCAGAGACACAACCCAGAACTCAGAGCTGCAGGAGGGCGCGGGACGTCGCTTACCTGCTGCTGGTGTCCAGCAGAAAGACAAGGGGTGGACACACACCGAGGACAGCAGCGGCCCGGCTGGATCACCAGGTTCTCGTGCTGGAGGACATTTAGAGGTCTGTGAGAGTTTATCATGTGAGAAGCATCCTTTACTGGCTAAATGTGCTGGACCCTTTTTAATCTGTGCTAAACCACCGGAATAAAGAAACGAGTCAAAAGGAGAAAAGCTCCACAGACATCAGTTAATCCCACGCGAGCATGGATCATCTCAAATAAATCCACGACTGGAGCAGAGACATCAGGGTCAGCTCAGATCTAATCCGAGGACGTTTCGGTGAAACTCACGGCTCTGCAGGCCACCTGCGGACACTCCACCACCCAACACTGGACCTTCCCGTTGCTGCAGGAACATCTGGAGCAGATGGTGGGCTTCCACTCCTCTCCGTCCCTGTAGATGCCTCCCTGCCAGGAGCAGGACGCTGACACACACCAGGAAAAACACAATCAGGAAAACTGCACACTCGCTCAGGAAAAGCAGGAGCTGACTAGCTGCTAGCCGCTGTCATTAGCCCTCAGGTCCACGCTGCTGCGTCTGACACCACCAGAGGTCGGCTTCTGCTGCAGATGGAAACATCTACCAGGACCCCCGTTAATTCACACATAAACACCATAAACCACCTGTCTGAACAGGAAGCACCATGCCCCGTTCTACAGAAGAACAAGAACTTAGCGCATCATCTTCAGGTCAGAGGTCACGAGCCTGCTGACTAAAAGACCTAAACTAGACTTCTGGGTAAAAATTCTGTGGAACGTTCTGGAAGGTCATGCTTCAGGACCTGGACCACCCACTCAAAAGTGATGGAACCCTGACTTCTGTTCTCCAGCAGAACATCCTGGAGAACATCTGACCTTTGACCTTAAACAGGCCCTTCCTGCTGGAAACCCGTCCAGGGCAACGTGACACGGGTCAGCAGGGATCAGACAGGATCTAGGTTCTTACAGCTTGGGAAGTTTTGGGCTAATTCCTAATCCCAGGAACGTTGGAAAGCTGGAGTCTTCGACTGAAAACAACTTTTACTTTGCTGATCTGAAGCCTTTAAGTGACTTTAAGAGAAGTTTGATGGATGAGGTGCGGCGCTCACCTCCGTTGCCGCCACACCTGGGACAGCATTTCCCGGGCGGGACCAGCAGGCTCTGGCCCGGTGAGCAGGTGAGCTGTGGACAGGGGTGGGCGGCGCAGGACACCCTCCCTCTGGAGCAGACGCACCGCGAACAGGGCGAGGGGCTCCACTGGCTGTCGTGCTGCAGGAAACAGGGAGACACGAGCGAGGGCGACAGATGAACACACCCCTCTCAGTGGGTGGGAGGAGTCAAGACAGACAAACTCAAGGTTATTGTGAAGTTAGCTGGCTGGCTAACGATTAGCTTGCTTCTGTGCAGCAGAGATCCCGCTCTAAATAATTCAGCTTCCCATTAGAGGTTCTCAGTCGTCAGGCTTTATTAAACATCTACATCTGATGAACTTTATCAGCTTCACTAACTCCAAATGCTCCACTGAATCTTTACTGGTTGCAACGGTTTGAGTTGATCTTGTGCGTGTTCCTGTGCACCCCGGTGGCGTTTTCACCGCAGCGTCTGTCTGAGGTGTCAGGCTGTGGAAGTCGTGTGACATCATCATCACGCCGAGCGTTAACGAAGCATTTATCTGAGGGCTTCCTCCCCACAGGAGGGTTAAAGAGGTAAAAGAGCCTTTTGTTCCCTTCTGATCATCCGGCGTGTGATTCCAGATCGGTTTTCCTTTGCAGCCTGAAAACTTCCCGTCCAGCAGCAGGAATATCAGCTGGAACCCTGCCAACTAACCACGGTCGTCCTGAGAGCTGGTTGGTTAGACGAGATCAAAGTTTCTTGTGTGAGCTGCGGGATTCGAACGGTTCTTCTGTTTTTCAGAAACATAAATGACAAAAGATGACAGAAAAACATTTTGTTCTGCTCAGGTGATGCATGCTTGTGTTGGGTTAGGGTTGGGGGTTTAACCACGTACGAGTTTCATTTCAGCTGCTCCACATGCAACAGCAGCTTGTGTTCTTCTAACCCTACAGTCCGACGGTCGGGTCTCAGGACGGCAGCTGAGCCCTAAAACATGCTCTGTTGGCACCGAGGAAACACAGGAGAGGCCTGGGGGACCGCCAGGTCTTCAGCCAGAGATGCTGATGCTGATGAAAACCGTCCTCCGCAGCTTCTCTCTGTGAGCCCATCATCATTCTTATTACAGCGTGAAACCCTGGATGCTTTGTGAGGAAAGCAACATTTAACGCTGACCATAACAACGATGTGTTTTTCTTCCTCTAAGCAGATGGAATCCTGACTCCAACCTTAAGGCTTTTAGGCAGAGGTATGAAACTCCAGTCCAGCACATGTTAGAGGTTTCCCCGCTTCAGCACACCTGATGTTAGTCAGCAGGTGATGAGCAGGCCTGGTGAGCGGTGCTGAAGCAGGAAAAAGCTCAAACATGACATGCTGCATGGTTGCCTACCCCTGTTTTAGGGCTCATGTGAGGCCAGGGCGCATCCCTCTGGGCTGAAATACGCCACTTACACTCTAGCATCCACGCCCGGCCAAACCGCCTTATGAATGCAGACGTGGGCGGGGCTAAAGAGTGCGAAGTCTGCGGTGTCCCGGTTTTTGTTTTTAATGGTTTTACGACTTTTTGTCTTTGTAACTTTTCCTGTTCAGCACCTTGGGCCCCCTTTGGGGTGGTGGAAAGCGCTGTATAAATAAAGCATGATGATGATGATGATGATGATGATTACACAAAAGCAGCCTGAGCAGTCTTGCCTTTGCAGACTCTCAGACTCTGATATTGCATCCTGCTATGCTGAGTCTGGCAGCACTGTGTGTGTGTGAGTGTGTGTGTGTGTGTGTGTGTGTGTGTGTTAGGGTTACGGTTATTTATTGTATTTATCCTGGTGAATCTATAATTAAACGGGTAAACTAGTAGTAGCACATTCAATGTCAAGGAAAGTAAAGTGTTATCAGGAGAGGGAGAATGTTTAAGCGGTTAGCAGCAGTGTGCTAGCCGATGGCCCCCTCCACGAGGCCACAAAGACAAGAGCTGAAGATCCGATCCCAAATGAGCCCAACAATAAAGAAAACAACCATCGATGACACGCGTCAGCACAAGGTCTGATGCATGGTGGGTGGGTGGAGCTATGTGTTTGAGTAAAGCCATGAATGAATATATAAACACACTCAGAAGGAGCCACTGTTAAAACTGGACACGCTGTTTACTCACTCCGTAAGTGACTCCTTCGTACTGGCAGGAGTCGGGGGATGAGGAGGTGCACTCGGGGCAGCACTGGTTGGGAGGGAGCCTCAGATTTTCCCCCTGTAGGCAAGTGGCAAACACACGATTTACACACGACACGAGGAAGAGTAGGGTGGAGTTTTAGGGCTACAAAGAAGAAAAATACAAGTCAAGAGTAACAATCAGACAAACCCCGCCCACAACGAGAGAAACTCTGCCCCTAGTGGTTTCAAACCAACCTATAGGTAACACGGGGCCACTGTGGAGTGTTGGGCCCTAATCCACAGCAGCTCAGACACAAAGCACGTCAGTCTCAGCGTCTACAAGACCAACCAGAAAACACGAAGACGTGGCAGGGGTGAGGAGTGAGCACCACCTCACCCCTGCCACGTGGACCTCAAGGGATAAACCATCAAACCTGCTCAATGGTCAACTTTCCTCGCGGGGTCACCCCTTAGGACAGTGGGAGGGTTAAGTGCCCACCACATTACTACCTTTTTATACACTCTAAAACATGTTAAAAGACTAAAAATGACAGTTGACTCTCTGCTTTTTTGTTTTATGGAACACAGAAAAATGTAAATGTCCATTTTCTTTCTTTTTTTTTGGGAAATTCTATTAAATTTAATACAAAGTTGTTTCAGATTGACAAAAAATGTCCACATTTAGGGAATTTCAATGAAATTTAACAAGCAGATGATATTTTCAGACTATTTTTGAGACGTCACAAATAAAAAGGTCTTGTAGTCTTCAGGTGTTCATTCAGGAATGAACGATTAGTTCATGTTAAGGACTAGAAACATTTGTTTTTATAGATGACAGCAGATCCCGTTTAAAAGCGTGGCACACGGCATGGTGACTCATTTTAATTAAGTTTGGATTTGAAGCCAGCAGAGAGGATTTCATTAGACCTGATTGTTGCCTTGAAGCAGCGTGGGAATTGGATTTAAAGCTGCTGCTGCAGGTTCAGGTTTCAAAGGTACATTCATGAAGAAGAAAAAAAAGTGCAGATGGAGTTTCAATAAAACAAAAACACTTTAAAAATGTTTGTGGGATTTAAAAGGTGCTGGAACACAATGACTGAACAGTCGTCACGACAGTGGAATTAAAAGGTGTGATCACAATAATCTGTCAGATGATTGTTGCTTATTAAAAAAACACCGACATTTTTCTTTTAGTACATTAGTAGGAAAGAAATTTACAAAATAAAAGCTTCAGACGTGAACATAAATGTTTGAACTCAATCTGCCTTTTCTCTCATTTTCTGTTCTGTTATCTGGTTACTGGCTGAAACCCAACATGTTACTTATTACTATTATATTACTATTATCATTACTATTACTATTACTATTATTATCATTTTTATTATTATTATTATCATTACTTTTACTACTATTACTATTATATTATTATTATCATTACTATTACCATTATTATCGTTTTATTATTATTATTATTATTATTATTATTATTATTATTATCATTACTTTTACTACTTTTACTATTATTATTATCATAACTTTTACTATTACTATTACTATTATATTATTATTATCATTACTATTACCATTATTATTGTTTTATTATTATTATTATTATTATCATTACTTTTACTACTATTACTATTATTATTATCATAACTTTTACTATTACTATTACTTTTACTACTATTACTATTATATTATTATTATCATTACTATTACCATTATTATAGTTTTTATTATTATTATTATTATTATTATTATTATTATTATCATTACTTTTACTACTATTACTATTATTATTATCATAACTTTTACTATTACTATTACTATTATTACTATTATTACTATTACTATTATTTAGGGCTGCTCGATTATGGCAAAAATAATAATCAAGATTATTGTGACTGAAATTGAGATTTTGATTATTTAAGATGATTTTTCAATTAATGTTGATTTTATTTGTTTTTATTTGGTCATAAAATTGCTCAGGGCACAATCAGTTTGTTAGTAATTTTATTTATTAGGTGCATCTGACCTGTTCTGTTTTTCTCTGAAATGAGATCAAATCAGTGCTTCTATGGGTTGGCTCCACTCTGCACTAGAACATTTTACTTTACCAAGTGTCTGCAAACACAGTTCCGGTTAAAAACCGGATTGAATTGTCCACACATATTCCAGAATGTCTATCTGAAAAGGGTTTTAGAGACGTGTCATAATTTCTCCCCAAGCCCCCCCCCCCCCCCCCCCGCCCCCCCGCCCACCCCCCACCCACCGACACAGCTGGAAAAATTCCTAGGGGACCACTGCTCTTCAATCTCTTCATGCTCCCCCTGGGTCAGGTCACAAACACAATAACAACATTACCTATCATAGTTATGCTGATGACACCCAGATCTACCTAGCTCTGGTCCTCTAGACTCACTCTGTCAGTGTTGGGACCAAGTTAATGACTGGATGCAGTCAAACTTCCTCCAGTTAAACAAAGACTAGACTGAAGTTATTGTCTTTAGGTATCAGAAGGACAGGATGGAGGTTACTGCTCAGCTCGGATCCAGAGGAATGAAGACAAAGACCCAGGTTAGAAGTCCTGATGTCATAACTGATTCAGACCTGAGCTTCAATGGTTACATTAAAGCTAGAACTAGATCAGTGTTCTATCATCTTCATCAAACAGCACGACTCAGAGGTCTCATGTCCACACAAGACCCAGAGAAACCCATTCACGTGTTCATCTCCAGCAGGCTGGACTACAGCAATGGTCTCCTAACTGTTCTTCCTAAAAAGCTGTGAAGCAACTGCAGCTTGTTCAGAACGCTGCTGCTAGAGTCTTAACAAGAACCAGGAGAACGGAGCCCATCACTCCTGTTCTTAGATCTCTACACTGGTTACCAGTAAATTACAGAATAAATTCAAAGTGCTACTACTAGTTTATAAATATCTCAATGGCATGGGACCAAAATACAAGTCCGATCTCATTCCTGTATATACACCCAATAGAGCTCTGAGATCCTTAGGAAACAGTCAGCTGGCAGAACCGGGTCAGAACCAAATAGGTGAAACTGCTTTTAGCTACTATGCTGCTCACAGATGGAATCAGCTTCCTCATGACCTCAGATCTGCTCCAGCTCTAGTAACTTTTACATCAACATTGAAAACCTTCATGTATTCATCAGCCTTTGGATAAATGTTCTTACCTTCTGCGCTGTAGCTGCTCACCCTTTAACTTTCTTTTTCATTTTAATTGTATTTTCTGTCACATTGATTTGAATGGTTCTAATGAAAAGCACATTGAGTAGCTTCTGTGTAAGACGTGTGCTATTCAAATAAAGCTGCCTTGCCTTCACAATAAGAGTCTACAGCAGGACTGTTTAACTCCGGGCCAGGAGAGCCGGTATCCTGCAGGTTTTAGTTTTAACCCTGCTTCTGCAGAGCCTGGTGAGCTGCTGCACAGGTGATTCAACCCCTGAATCAAGTGTGTTAGAGCATCCATCTGTGGAAACGTGAAACATGAGGTTTATTTAAATAAATAACCTGAAACCTCTTGTTTATTTCTGTTTTCTGAGATGACCCAAATCAAATCTTCTTTTCCAATCCTGAATTCCTAACGCGTTTCCTGGTAAACGTCCTCACCCTCTGGAAGTCACACTGGAGGTTTGGGCAGCGGACGGGGCTGCAGAGGGGCACGTCGCCGTGGCAGGTACACTCCCGGCAGGACTCGGGCCTCCATGATGACTGGTTCTGGTGAGACAAGGACAGATGAGACATTACAGGACAGAAACATCGTGTCTCTGAAGACATCGAGTTGACAGCTGGGACCTCGGAGTTCAACAATCCTGAAAAAAAGCTTTTTACTTTGAACCAGCACCAGAACTTCCCTGGTGCCTTCGTTAGGAGAGACAACCCCAGAAGGATTCCTGCTTCATGCAGAGTGAAGCTGTTGAGGGTTGAATAAAAGCAGCTGTGGGACAACTCCCAACTCACACTTTAACACGCCTGCTGCTCCTCAGCAAGCTCAACGCTAGAACTACATCAATATTCCAGCGCCTGCATGTTCTCGGATATGTCCTCCATAAATCCCACTGAGACGAGTGATTAATAATCCAACCGAGGCAGGAATATTCTTACGGACGCCAAGGAGACCCAAACTAAAGGAGACGAAGGTTTCACCTGTGCAACAGCAGCCGGGAAATAGACCATCAAAAATGTATTACAATGATTATTCTGATGATGATGATGGTGATGATGATGATGGTGAAAGTGATGATGATGATGATGGTGAAAGTGATGATGATGATGATGATGATTGTGATGATGATGGTGGTGAAAGTGATGATGATGATGGTGATGATGATGATTGTGATGATAGTGATGATGATGATGATGATGATGTGATGATGATGAAAGTGATGATGATGATGATGATGATGATGATGATGATGATGATGATGGTGATGATGGTGATGATGATGGTGATGATGATGGTGATGATGATGATGATGATGGTGAAAGTGATGATGATGATGATGATGATGGTGAAAGTGATGATGATGATTATGATGATGATGATGATGGTGGTGAAAGTGATGATGATGATGGTGATGATGATGATTGTGATGATGATGGTGATGATGATGAAAGTGATGATGAAAGTGATGATGATGGATTTTATTAATTATTAATATTATTATTATTGTTATTATTGTTATTATCAATATTGTCATGTTGTTGTTGTTGTTATTAATGCTGTTATTGTTGTTGTTGTTATTATTATTATTATTATTATTATTATTGTTGTTATTGTTGTTGTTATTATTATAATTATTATTATTATTGTTATTGTTATTGTTGTTGTTATTATTATAATATTGTTATTATTATTATTATTGCTATTATTATTATCATTATTATTATTATTATTATTATTATTATTATTATTATTATTATTATTATTGTTATTGTTGTAATTATAGTTATCATTATTGTTATTATTATTACTATTATTATTGTTATTATTATTACTGTTATTATTGTTATTGTTGTTGTTATTATTATTACTGTTATTAATATTGTTATTGTTATTATTGTTGTTGTTGTTATTAATATCCTCCTCATCATCATCATCATCATTATTATTATTATTATTATTATTATTATTATTATTATTATTATTATTACTACGTTCAGACATTAGCTGCTGATTTTCATGTCAGACGATTTTGATCATTTTGTGTTTGTTTCTGGATAAAATCAACAACAGGGTCACACTTCCCTTCCAGATGCTCTCCAATACTAAATCAATCAACTCAGTGCGGAAGCTGTTCAGAGCCACTGCTCCTCCACATCGAGAGGAGCCAGTTGAGGTGGCCAGGGCATCTAGTGAGTATCATCATCATCATTCATTTTACACATGTAGCACTTTCTAGTGCTTCAGTCAGTCCCAAAGAGCTTCACACAACAAACAAAGACACACTAAATCTGCATGATTGTAACACAACTACAAACACAACCAGAAACGGCTCAGAGAACACCTTTTTCAGGTTATTCCTTACTTCTAATACACGTTCCTTACAGTAAATAAGGAAAGGCATGAAAATAAAAATAATCCAGACTGCTGTGGAGGCCAACTTTAATCAGAATAACAGTGGTCAGAGCAGCGGCTCATCAAGTCGTTTGTTTCTGATGATGTCAACAACACAACCATCGTTAAACTTCAAAAACAAGTTTAAACTTTCAAAATAAAAGTCAGACGATCAACGCTCTGAACGCTGGATTGTATTTTCCATGAGAATGAGACGGGAGACCTCCCATCCAGTGATACGTTTCAACATCAAACATAGAACAATGTCTTCCTGTAACTCGGCGTTAGAAGATGAAAGAAGTTCAGCTTCCTCTGTTCATCACCAGAATGAGAGCACGAAGGTCCCGGTGAGGAGGGGGTTTACTCTCCTCCAGCACTGGAAACGGGTCCGTGCGGCGCTGGTTTAAGCTGCAGTCCATTAAAATCATCAGCAGGCCTCTGGCCGGTTTTCTCATGCAGGCAGAAACAAAACGAAGCACCAGAGGAGCAGCTGATGAACGCCGACGTCATTAATGAGACAAATTCAATCTGCAAACGGCAACGAGCTCCACCTCCAACCGTGCTCTCCAGAGCTGCTTCACATTCATCACAGGTCAGCTGATCGATGCTCAAAGCTGCAGCTTCTGTGTTTCAGACTTTGTAAAGCAGCCCGACGGCACAGGCAACGGCCTTTGGTGACATCCAGCTGTGGGGAGCAGAAGGATGCAGCTCCTCACATCTCTAATGGGAGAACAACTGAGCTCCTCTGGATTCAGCGGCTCAGCTTCAGATGATGCTTTAAGCAGCTTTTACGCTTTTCTGAAGTCGCCGTTTCAGGATTCATCCACTGAGTCAACAGAAGCAACATTCAGCCTGGCACGGCAGGCCGCCTGTCATCCAACACGCAACAGGAATAAAACACTTTAAAGGCCCGTCTACAACCCCCCAAGGCGCCTTACCCAAACCTCACCCATTCACACAGTGTAGCCAAAGCATCGACGCATGCACACGGGGGGGTGTCTAGCCCAAAGGCACAACAACTAACATGGACGGAGTCTGGGATTGAACCTGCAACCGATGACAGGGCGAGGTCGTAACCGCTGAGCCACCGTGCCCCAAAACAAGATCAAACAACAAACACAAAAATAAACTCACTGAGTCATGAAAAGGTCAGACAACAAGCATCTCCACCAGGACGTGGTCATGTGGGACAAAACGCTCATGTCCCCCCCCCCCCCCCCCCCCCCCCCCCCAGTACCTCCGGTCCGATTAAAGGAGCTGCTGGTCGGACATGACGGACCGCTGGCTGAGCCCATCCTGCTGGTGAACATCATGTCGCCACCGCTCCTGCAGCCAGATACCAGCCTCCAGAGCATGAAGGTTCCGGATCATCAGGCATGGAGACAACAGAGTACCAGTGAACTAGATTAAAGTGTTTCTGATTCAGATAAACGCCGCGGTGTGGCTCGTTTGTCTCCTGCAGGCACCCGCTGTGGCTTATTTAGGAGGTAGAGACGCTTGAACCCTGAGAGGAAACAACACGCCCACACTGACCACCAGGAGATAAAAGACAAACACGCATCTGTGAGTAAAGCCGCGTAAAAGCTGCTTCAAATAAAAGGGTCCAGACTGTCAGTCCTACGTAGGGATGAAGGAAGATCATTCCACAGTCAGTCGGAGACGCAGCAGGTTTGTCTTCTAAAGCAGAGCAGAGGCTAAATCTGTCTCACAGACACCGGAGATGCCTTCAAACCGTCCAGAAAGGCGTTCAGAGCTGACGGTCTGAGACCTTCACAGTCAACTCAGAAGCTTCATTGTTTGTATTTTGAGTAGAATTCTAACTTTTGTTTTTTATTTATTATTTTTTAGAGAAAACCTCACAGCAAGCTGTCATTTTTTTACCCATTTGAGTCTATTTACGGTGCAGAAAGAGCGACCTCGGCGTTTATTTCTGCTGTAACGCCTCCTCATCACCTCCAGGCACACGTCCACCCTTAAACTCAGAATAGTTTCGCCGCCACTCAGCTCGCTTTAGTTTGGTCGGACTGACGGGAGGAAAACCAGTCTCCCAGGAAGTCTGAGTGAGTGTTGTACCTCACAAGCCTGCGGTGAAACATCAAGCTACAATCGTTTATTATCGACTTTAAAACTTTAATATCTGACAAAACCCACTCACATGCATTCATGACGACTGCCCTTTGGAGCCGTGCTTTATCCGGTCTGTTCCCATTTTGCAGCTGCGATCCCAGCTCATCCAGAGTTAGGGTTTCACCTCTGACACCAGACAGGTTGCCAAGCAACGGCAGCTCTGGCGGAACCAAACAAAAGGTTCATTATTTATTCCGGGAGCTTCTTCAGAAAGCCTTTTAACGTTTCCAAAGCCAGCGGAGGACGCTTGGGAACGTGGGGAATTCTGCTGTTGGTCTGACCCGTCTAAACGACGCAGCTCCACTCTGGTGTCGCTGTGGTGAAAGTCACGTAGGGTGGATGCAGATACCTCCAGCTTCAGGGTAACCAGGGAGTGGAGGCGGAGACTCCGGTTAAGGATTAATGACAGAAGTCCGCCGCTCCGACTGATTCCGCTTTGATCTGCAGCCATGTTTGCTTAGCCAGGATTGGCTTTCATGATTCTGTAACATCAGAACCAGCAGAAGATGGGAGTCCAGCTTAAATATAAACCCCCCATCTAAGACTCCATGTCCTCTCTTCATGAGAACAACCGTAGTGCCTTAAACTTAAAGATTCATCTGGCATCTGCGGTGATTATCAGATAATGTGTAAATATTCTAGTTATAATGCAGAAAACGCCACAAAACATGTAAATAATCAACTAAATAGATACGGCCATCAAACTAAAGCTTTGGTCAGGAAAAATCAACACAGACCCAAACAGAGAAGGTTCTGGATCTAGTCCTGGTCCCGGAGAGCCTCTTCTAGAGGTTCCTGGTTCCAACGCCTCTGCTCATGAAACAGCTTTCTGCACAACAGCTAACTCCATTCAGATCTAGTACGCTCTCAGTATCATGAGAAGATCCATCACACAGCAGTTTGGCCGGGGGGTCCAGCAGATCCACAGAGGGGGCAATTGCCCCCATTGGGCCCTTACTTAGGGACGCCCCTGTTCTTAAGGACATTTTGTGAGTGTGAAACACTCCAGAGCTGGTTTTTGCTCGCTACTGTG